AAAGAAAACCTTTTAAAGGAAGGTTTGTATGATAAATACTGCTTGATTCTGGAACCGAAAGATTCAAGTGATGCGCCATTGGGAAAATGATTTTATTTAAAGGAAACTTTGGAATTATACGACTGATAATATTTTGCTGGTTAAAATGATAATTAGGTAAACTAATTCTCGTCAGTCGCTGTTCAATAATTGTAGTACAGTGTTCTCATCTACGGTTGCAGTCAACCGCTTTTTTTTCCTTTCAAATTTGCTTGCAGCAAATGGCGACGTTACAAAGACATTAAGCTACACGAGAATGGTTTTAACAAAAATGTGCATACTTATTTTCTAAAGCGAACTGAATTCTTGCTATGGACACCTTTCCTTCCACAGATCAAAACACTTTTGTAAACTACAGTTATTAGCGAGAATTTACTCAAAGATCAAGCAAATCGTCTCCACTGATAAGGGTCTAAATTCTCCATACCAGATAACGGTGTTTTAAGGAGACATAGGAAGTTCATCGTAGTCGGTCAGTTAGCATATCATAATCCATAAACTACAAATTCTCATTGTGCATTGTAAACACTTTTCACAACACAAGCCCTTGGACATCCTGAATTTTCCTGTTGTGGGGCAAAATAAACAGAGAGAGAAAGTTGTTACCTTTATGCTGACTGATTCGTCTGCCATTTCATATCGGAGGGCGCTGAGAGTGAAAATGTTTCGCTTATTCTTTGTGTTGGCTCTTGCCTTTTTGTTGAGTTCCTTCGCGAGTTCACAAAAGAAATCTGCTAATCAGGTAACCAAATTGATAACTAGGCTTAAAGTAATTGTCGTCAAATCGGAATTCGAGTGAAAGTGAGAATTTTTGTGTTTTGTTCGAGCGTGTAACTTCCCAACAACCCCTTCATTTCATAACTCATGGGCACACTGTTCGTTTTTTCAACAGAGTCATAGAACAACGACGAAATCAAACTGCTGTGCTTCACAAGCTGGTTACTGTAAAGATGGTGAGTGAAACTTCGAACAATAATCCCACCTTTTTCAGTTCATTTATAATTTTAATTTAGAATAATAATAAAAATACTTCAGTACTCGAAACGCGCATATATTTAATTATTTACATCTGCTCATATGGAGAGAAATTCGAGTTTCTTCACTGATGTTCTTGTTTCTGTTAATTTCTGGACAGGAAAAGACGGAAAAGATGGACAAAACGGTGAGTGTGCAAAAGTTACTTTATGGTTCATTTATCAAGTTATTGACTTAAAAACAAATGACTTTTCACGATAAAAAATAAACTGTTTATCTACCTACCTAACATAAGAAAATTGATTTGCTTTTTATGCAGGAAAAGATGGACGCGATGGAATAAACGGTGATATAGTCATTTATTCAAAGTGAATTTTTATTTAGATGGGAAATATTTTCAACGTGATTCCTCCACAAACAAAAAGTGGTAGAGACTAGTTATTATTAATTTTCTGCGGGGGGGGGGGGGGGGAAGTTGGTGGAGGACTTTAGGGATATCACATGGTTTTAAGGGAGAAAAGATGGTGGTGGGGAATCATAAGAATATTAAAGAGCCTTCGGGGAGGATCAGGTAAATTTAATCGTAACTCTACCAAAATCCTCGGGCTGACTAAGTGACTGGTCCCTTATGGCAATTTAGGGAGAGAAAAGAAACCCAAACTAGTAAAGTGATGATTACATGTGTCAAGTTAATATTACAACGAGTTTCAATGACTTAAAATTACTGTGAATGATACATTTTTTGGAAAACGAAGGTGTAACATGTGAAACCTTTTACAAAGTCGAAACAAAAGAAGTACTATGTTGAAGATGTAATTGTTTAAGACGTGACTTTTTTTGCTGTTTTCGTTTATCGGTGTTTTCACATTTTGTACTTATCGCCAATATTTCCAACATAGGACGAGATGGACGTGATGGGACAGTTGGAGCAAAGGTTAGATATCTTTAAAACAATAATGTAACCATTGTTAAAAATAAAATGACATTGAAACGGACTTGAGTATACTAACGTGTTCAACTGTGTGTGACGTACTTCTTTTTGTAAGTCGTTACTCATAGTGCATCAATCAAATTGTTGTCATGGTTACCGGGACATTATTTCGATTCATTTTAAATTATCCAGGGAGAGAAAGGTGAACCAGGCATGCATGGTGTGAATGAAAATACTGGCACCAAGGTTGGTAATATTTATATTCAGCATATTTAAATCAGATATGTGATAATCCTTATCTTGTCAAATGCAAAAAATTAAGCTATTTTCTCGATAATTTTTCTTTGGCTTTGATCTGATTGACACTTCAACTGTTACCAACTATTTGGTTGGAATATTTAAATCTTGATTACTGTATATATCCCACCCAAGAGGATTCAGTTATAGAATTAGATTTTGGCAAAGGGGAACATCTCATCAATTTGAACTGCAAGAGTTCTCTTGCTTCTAAATTTTCCCGTATTGGAGATTTATCTGACTTTGACACTGTCAATGAATACAATGAAGTATGTTGCTGATACGTTAAATTTTGATTTCTTTGGGGGGAGAGGGGTGAACAAGGACAAAAGGGAAAGAATGGTGGCTCTAGTTTCAAAATTAGGTCTCTGAATCATTCAGTTAAACTAGGACCTGCGAAAAAACTGCGATAATAGTAGGACCAGGAACGCCTGGTAGGACCTGGTAGGGATCGGTCATTATTTGGCAGGGGGAGGGGGGGGAACGGCTTCTTTTCATGAGGTGTACACAGAAAATTCTATCGTCCAACTCAGTTTAAAAAATAAACTTGAAAGAAGCTAACTTCTCAAAGTTGTTTAATAGCAAATAGCAAAACATGTTCTCCACTTCAAGTCCATCCCATACAACCTTTTTTTATAAGCTTGCTTTTTCATCGAGGGCGAGAAAGGATCTGTTGGACAGAAAGGATCACAGGGACAAAAGGGACAGAAAGGAATGCTGGGAACATGTGATGACCTGGTATGGAAAGATATAATGGATAGAAAATCATCACTTAAAAGTGTAACAGTCCTTAAGTACTTCTAAAATAATGACATATTACAAGTAATTTGCTACGTTTTCTTTTATTATCATAATTTTTTGTTTTGTAGCTATTGTGTGATATTCTTTGACATTCACAAGCATGGAACGATAATACATGATAACGAGACTTTTAATGATTCTTTGCAGACCTCCTCGTCATCCTCTGGAAAAAGAGGATGTTGTCAAGTTGGTAGGAATAACTTTTCACTTGTTTTTGTAGCTACTGTCTCCTATAAAGAATTAAGGTTTTCGAGTAACAGGAAAATAAAGTGAAAAATAAGGAATTTATTTCAGAGGATGGACTGTCGCTTTAATAACATCATTTGTTATGGAAAAAATCGTTAAAAAGCAGTTTTACAATTTCTTACGCCAATTTCCGAAAAAATAGGAGACTGTCGAGGTTGAAGTTCAATGAAAGACTAGTTATTGAAAACCTTGAAATCACTCTGAGCCACCTTAAAAAGGCGTTTAACCAGAAACAGCGGATGAGAGGTAAACTCTGTCAACCATATGTTTTGCTTTTATCAAAGAATGTTCCACTGGTTTCCACTTCTTCGAGAAAGTTCAAGACTTGCCAACCAGAGGAGCTGCAGCTGTTCAACATTTTACCATTAATGGAAGTCTGTTCCTCACTTTTGGGAACTTCTATGGAGATATTTACCGATACAAGACAAGCTCCGTGGTTTACAAGATGGATGAACCGACTGAAAAATTCATATTGTACCAGACCCTGCAAACTAGAGGTGCCAATGGTGTTGAGTACTTTTCTATCGTTGATAAACATTTCCTTGCTGTGGCTTGTTATCGGGATAATACGCACCAACTTGACTCTGTCGTCTTCCGGTGGAATGGACAGCAGTTTGTGGTATTTCAGAAATTACCAACAAAAGGAGCTGCACACTTCAAGTTCTTCGAGGTAAATGAAGAAAAATATCTCACAGTGGCAAACTCTCATGAAATCAAATCAATCATCTACAAATGGAATGGGGTCAAGTTCAACAAGTTCCAGGAGATAGCAACTGAAGGTGCCATGAAATGTACGTCATTTGAAATAAACAATGTCACTTACATCGCTTTCGCCAACTATTACAACTCTCAACTGAAGTATTCTGTTCAGTCCACTGTCTTTAAGTGGTCAGGAGGACACTTTGTCAAACTACAGTCTCTACCAACATACGGGGCACGTGACGTGAAATGTGTTAACATTAATGGTCACACATTCCTCGCTTTTGCCTGCTACTTCTCTGGAAGTTCCACTAACACTGACTCGTTTATCTATAAATGGGATGGTACTAAGTTCGTTCTTTTCCAATCCATTCCTACCCGTGGAGCCCTTGCTTGGAACCCTTTCGTGATCAGTGGTCTCACATACATGGTTGTTGCCAATGGTTACGACAACAGCCACCAACACAGCACTAAATCAGTTGTGTACCAGGCCTCTGGAGCACAGTTTATCAAGTACCAAGAGATTTCTACCCATGGAGCTCATGATATGACATCATTTGAGTACAAAGGTCAAACTTATCTGGCAGTGGCAAACTACCACAAGCAGAAGTACAACATAAACAGCGCTTTATACAAGTGGATTTAGTGATAGAGACACAAGTCGAAACTTGTAATGACCAAGAGTCTTACGTGCTTATGCATAATTATAGTGATAATATTTGGTCAATGATCGATAAAAAAAATTTAGGCATTAGGAATCTTTGATAGAATTGATATTTTTGATAACTCAGTGTTTTATCAGCCATTTACGGGCTAAGATATTAAAATCTTCGAAAAGGAATTAGTGAAATTTAGTAATAAAGCTGTGCATTGAATATAATACTTAGGTGTGGTTTCTTTCTAATGTTTCTGAGTAAATATCTTCCAGTGATAAGGGGTGATTAAAAGAGAGCTGAGACACGCACTAGGAGTTTGGGGGGTAGGGGGTGGAAGTGGAACGGAGGGGGAATCAGTCTTTCCTAACAGAGTATAAAGGAGGGACTATAGTAGAATGACTGCCAATTAACTGCCAGCGAGGGGGGATCATTAGAATATTGCAGAGCATTTAAGGGAGAAGGTAAATTGTTATCATGACGCAACCAAAATCCTCCATCCCATCCTGCAGGATGCTAAGCAATGACCGCCTTCTTAGAATGGTTGAATGGCTTTTACTTTGTTGGCGCCAAAAGTGAAATTAAACACTTTATGCGTCTCACAACATGTTATACTGCATGCGCTTTGATGATTCGTAAATACCTCGTGGCCTTTTCCTTGACAGGGGTTATTCGATCGGTGACTGACAATTTTTATATCCAGCTATCATAACTTTGTTAAGATATAACACTATGCAAAAGCCAGGCTGAGGACGGAGGCGAAGTTCAAAGTCAAAAGTTTTCAGAGATACAAAACTCCTCGAAAACAAAAAGAAAAGAAAAAGGAGAGTTGGTGGTTTGTTTTTGAATTAAAGTCTGGACTGGAGACAAAGCTAAATTAACGATTTAGTGGCTTAATAGCTGCTAAGAAAGCTTGTAAGCAGAGTCTTGAGGGGCAGCATAGCATGTTTTTTTAGAAGGAGTAATTGTGTTGAAACTGAATACCATCAACTCACACAATGTATAGCATACTTTGAATCTCTTAATGGGCAGCAGTGTGATTTTGTGGAACAACCCAGTCTTTATATAAGGCCCTGTCCAAACATTTCCGATGAATTCGTCTTATGAATCTACAACTTTTTGAAAACGCTGCCCAGAGTAGAATTTTTTTAATACGCGTAAGAATACGGCGTCGTGTGCCGGACGGTCGAATCTAGATATTTTGGAATAAACTGATGTAACGATATCAGATTTTTTCACAGTAACACCCTACTATTCAATGCTGTTCTCATGGTTATGTGTTTCGCCATATAATAGAGGAGGAAGAATAATATTATGAAAAAAAACTACTATTTTCATTGCGCCTTGTTAAGCTGGAATTAAATTTATTTCATCGTAGTAGAGCTGTCTCTTACATTCCCCCTAATATTTTTATTCGCACATAGTATTCAATATCAACACGGTTACTCCATCTGATTACATGTTACACTTTCAACTTTGGATTATGCGACTGATAATATTTTGCATGTTGAAATAATGTTTGGTAGAGGGTCGCTTTTAAATAATTGTAATGCTAATTAACATTACAAAAGTATTCTCATTTACGGTTTTAGTCAAGCGCTATATATTTCTTTTCAAACTCGCTTGCTGTAAATGATGACGTTACACACATGTTAAGCAACGCGTGAATGCATGGTTTTAACAAAAAGTGCTCTCTTTTCTCCTAAATCCTCGGCAACTCGTTATCTTTTATTTTACTATATTTTTATTGCACCGTGTTTTGTATTGAATGACTTTGCAGCTTTCCCATTTCGTGTTAGCAAACGACAATTCTAATTCCTTTTAACTCACAGCGGTATATTCACATCAACCATCCCATTTTTTAAAATTCCGTAAAATAATGGAAAGCGAGCTGAACTCTTGCTATGGACACTTTTCCTTCCAGATCAAAATATTTATTTTTTACGACTACTGTTATAAATGGGAATTTGCCCTAAAAAAAACAAATCGCCGTCGCTGATTAGGGTCTTAATTCTCCTCTCCGGGAGATATACGAAGTTAATTGTAGTAGTTCATTTAGCATATCATAATCTATAAACTACAAATTCTCATTGCGCATTCAAACACTATCCATATCAAAAGCTCTACAACATCCTGAATTTTTATCTGTTCTGAGGCAAAATAAACAGAGTTGGAAGTTGTCCCTTTATGCTGACAGATTCGTCTGCCATTTCAGATCAGAGGGTGCTGAGAGTGAAAATGTTTCGCTTATTCTTTGTGTTCTTTGTGTTAACTCAAACTGCTGAGCTCCTCGAGCTTGTTATTGTAAAGATGGTGGGTAAAACTTCGGACAAAAATCTCCCTTTGTTCAGTACAAGCGTAATTCCCGAGAAAGTCACTTCACCAATGTTTGGTTTCTTTTAATTTCTCAACAGGAAAAGACTGAAAAGATGGACAAAATAGTTAATGGCAAAGTTAACGTTTTTTTATGGTTTGTTTAACGAGCTTTTGGCCTAAAAAGATTTTACTTTTTACTAAAAGAATAAATTATTTATTTACCTTACTAAAATTGGAAAAACTCACTTATTTCCTAAGTGGGAAAAGATGGACTCGATGAAATAAACGGTGATGTGGTTATTTTATTTAAACGGACTTTTCATTTTAGAAGGCAATTTTAGCTTTTCATCGTGAATTCCTTCACAGCATTAACTGTTATGAGAATTTAGTATAATGATTATAGTAAATGTCAGAAACTTAAAATTTTGCCCTTATGCAAAACTGCAATTACAAGAAGTGAGTGACTGAAAATTTACCCCCCTTGGTCAAGCACGTGTTCAAAAGGATTGATTGCGCAACACACACCCTCCAGTATCAGACATTAGGAGTTTCGTGTTTCATTTCACGTCAGTTTTCACTTCGAGCGTACACCAGTTTTTTTTCCGAATGGGTGGTCAAAGTAGGTGTTCAGGTTGTAAAGAGTTAAAGCCTGCTCATGACTTCGGTCGTCCTGGAAAGTACTGTACCAGTCCAGCTCACAGTGATAATGAACGGGTCGCACTCGCAGAGGTTTAAGAGCTAACGAATACTGAGAGTAATCCTCCCACCGACGAGAATAGTGCTGCCGCTTCTTCTCAACTGTTGTTTCAATCTTTGGCCGAATCGATGAAGCTTTTGTCCTCTGAAATGAAGGCTCTTCAGCAGAAAACCAGAGTTGCGGACGTTCGTCCGTGCTCCCACTTCCGACCAACAAGCTCCCGTCATACCGCCTCGTATGACTCTCCCCGAGGTGCGCGCCATGACGGATTTGGCAAAGACAGTGGATCGGCGTGTGGAGCGACTTCCTCTTCTTCCATCGGATGATAGTTCCATTAAGGATGAGGGCGACAATTTTAAACACTCAGCAGTTGAATCACCACCTCCCTCGCGTAGCCTTGTTAATGACCTGTGTGGGTGTCGTACTCAATACTCTGGACTTTAAATTTAATACTCTGGACTTTAGATCTAGAGTCTTCATTGCGCCGATTCTTGGTTTGTTACGGACAATTACATTTGTATATTAATCTCAATTCGGAATTTCATAAAGACATCCAATGGTGGAGCATGTTTTTGCGTGCATGTAACGGTGTGTCTATGATTACCTGAAATAGATAGTCATCTCCCGGAGAGGTGTTTACCACTGACGCTTGTCTTACGGGTTGTGGCGGCATTTGTGAGCGTTTTTATTTTCATGCGGAGTTTCCAGAGTTCGTCTCAATCCAACGTCTTGACATTAATTCCTTAGAACTTTTGACCATTGTTGTTTCTCTAAAATTGCGGGGCCATCTTTAGCGCGGCCTACGTTTAACAGTTCGGTGTGACAACGAAGTCGCAGTCACTGCGCTGATATCGGGCCGATGTAGGAATACCTTGGTTAATTCTTGTCTGCGCGAAGTCTGTTTCTAACTGGCAACACACGAGTTCGAGATTTGCGCGGTTCACCTTCTTAGAGTCTTGAACAGTGAAACCGACGTGCTTTCACGTTGGAATGTGATCTCAGGTACAAGGGAACAATTCCTGCAACGTGTTCAACGTGATCTCTGTGACATTTACCTTCTTGCAGTTACACAGTCCTTTCTAGTGGATCGTTTTGTTTGTTTTAATTGTAGATTTCTTAGTATTATCTGCATTGAGACAGGATTTGAAGTACAGGTTTCGTTCTGCTTACAGCGCCGGAACATTTAGTAATTTAAGGACCCAATTGAAAGCCTTTTTGTTATTTTGTGCATATTTTCGACTCATACCAACGCCAGCTACGTTGGATACCATTTGCCTTTATGTGCAATTTCTTAGTCGTAGGCTTAGTCCTCCTGCTATTTGTAACTATTTGTCTGAGGTTAAACTGCTACATTTGTTTTCAGGGCCAGAATTTCCATTTACTAAAGATTTTGTTCTCTCGCTGAAGTTGCGTGACATTGCGCGCAACGCGCTGCACACCCCACGAAGAGCTCCTCCGGTCACTCCTGATGTTTTGTATCACATTTTTATGGTTTGAGATTTAGAGAATGTTCCTTTTTCGCGCACGCTGTTTTGTGCCTTTTTAATTACATTCTTTTCAATGGCGCGGTTAGTCAATATCGTACCTAGTCCCATCAGTGCTTCGATCCATCGCGTCATCTTACTCGGAGAGATATCGCAACGAACCAACACTGGCTAATTGTTACTTTTAAATGCACTAAGACTATTCAGTTCGGGGAGGGTAAATTACATATTCCTTTGTTAAGTCTGCCCAGCTCTTCTTTATGTCTATTCTCAACATATCCCCGTATGATTCGCCTCGTTCCCGCGAGTTCTCGGTCTGCCTTATACGTTTTCCCAGTCATTACGGTCCCACTACCTCACTCAGGCTCGTTTTATCGCCGAGTTCTGTCAGGCGATTTCTGCTGCTGGGTCTCCCAGATGCTTCGTCCTTTCGAGGTCATTCTTTCCGTCGCGGTGCGGTCTCATGGGCCTTTAATTACGGTGTATCGTACTTAAT